TTTGCATCATCTGTGAATTTGCTCAGTATCCCTTCCAGCCCTGCTCCCAAGTTGTTTATGGAGATGTTGAAGAGCACAGGGCCTAAGATGGAGTCCTGCAAAACCCCACTAGTGAACTTTCATCCCAAATTACAGAAAAGTCAAGAGAAATTCTACTTTAACATTTGACTTTTTGGTAATGATTACAGTAAAAGGATATGTTAACATCGTGTATTCTTAAGCAAAATTTTCAAGTACCTTAAAATTAAATGCCAACAATTGATGCAACATATACAGAATTGAATCAATACGCATGCAGTTACTACTGCCAATTTTTTCTAGCATTCTATCACTATCAGAGGCTAGACCTAGGAGAGCCTGAGATGGTCCTCAAAAGAGAGAGTCATCCTGTGCTGACCATGAGTGCTAATGAATAACAAAAGGGCTTCTGAAGGTCCCAGTAACACCTTGCTCAGACACCTACTGGCTTTATTTTAAAGCATGGCAGCTATAGAATATCTTCTATTTTGTGGTTCTGCACTGCTCCATTTCTCAGGGCTTTCACTGTACTTGCTTTAGCATTAAGTAGTTACTCTAGGGATACTTCAAGACTTTTTTCCATTATCTTTAGCCAATAGTATAGATTTTTTGATTTATTCTAAAAATAAAAGCTTAAGTACTTTCTGAAAAGATTTTCTTATCATGAAAATTAAGTGACCTCAGTAGAGCAACATCTGCATTCACTTCAACAAGACTAGAAATCAAATAAATGTTTACAATGATGCAAAATTCAGTGCATAGTGATAAGCAAATAAAATGAATTAAAATTACTATTTTCTTTAAAAAATAATAAAATTTCTCATGCTTAATATTCCATGAGAAAGTTAGAATGCATAACCCTTTTCAGCAATACCTTCAAAAACCAGTTATAAAAGCCATCACTCTGCCTGTGCAAATACTGAATCATGCAAATAATCAAATCAAGGTTCTTCATCACTGTAAATGATCCTAAATTCAAGGCCTGGCCTCAGACGGGCAAGACTCCTATTGTTCAGTCCCAAAAAAGTAAAATTCATGTCTATGTAAGAAAGTAAAGTGTATTGGGTACATCCATGTAAGGAAAGTTTTAATTCCCCTCTCTGCATGCTAGTGTGTCCATGTTAGTTTCCAGACTTCAGGGCTCCCTCCTTCCCTCAGAAAGGATCTGACAAAATATCAGAGCTAAAGCAGTCAAAGCAGAGGCTAATGGAGCTTGCATTTGTTTAGTTTGCAGAACCAGCAGCTATGAGGCATTCTGAAGAGAAGTTACAAAGAAGAGAAAACCAAACTGTTTTTGACAGAAGCCAACAGTATAACAGGAGGTAAAAGTTCCACACTGAGCCTTGGGAGGATTAGTGGGGACAATAGGAAGAGCACAAATAGCATGTCACATGAAGATGTTACCTAGAGACACTGAAGAAGCTCCATCCCTAGAGCTTGAAGACACAGCCAAAGTTATTGCTGACTCAGTCTAATACGAGCTGATGGAATTATGGGATCCATGGACCATTGAATACAGGCTCAGCTAAAAGCTACAGATCAGAGGAAATCACAGAATCACAGAATATCCTGAGCTAGAAGAGACCCACAGGGATCCTTGAAGTCCAACTTCTGAATGTAATATACACTGAATGTAACATTATGCTTAAGTTCACTCAACTACCTCAGTTATTCTAAGTTGTATGAATCTGTATATACTATATATGTATCTGTATATATTACTCATAATTTGTGTTCTCATTTTTACAGATTACTGCATATAATACAAGCACTGCAGATAAGATTTTAAAAAATGCTCACTGGATTGCTCAATTCAGCTCCCATTGGAAGAAATGTTTAAACTCACACGATTTCAATGGGTGCATTTACATACTAGACCCAAATCCCCAAAGGCATAACTTCTGTTGAACATCTGGGAAGCCATTTTCCACATCTAGGTGGTTGGCAGCATAACATCAGTCAAAACACTTACAGCTTCTGATCTCCTTATGTTGAGCTGCATATTATAGGGCTTTTTTGTATAGCATTGTTGCAAGAGAGCTTTCTTATCAAGAGTTACAAAATCATCGTGTCCATCTTCAAGCTGTGTACCCTACCCAAAAATACGTTCTTTTTATAACTCAAATTTATTGAATTGTAATAAAAACAAACCAAAAAACCTCAACAATTTGTTTTAAAGTACTACTTTCTTACTTCTTCTTTTCTACTTTTTAAAGTGTCTACTTCTTGCATTTCATGCTAATTAAAAGAGAATTTTTTAAGCTTAGCTTTCTACAGAAACTGAACTTACAAGGAAAGATTAGAGAGCAAGATTTGTTTCTTTTGAATACTTACCAGTTTTCATTCGTACTGAAATAAATAATAAATTTTAAAATATCAAAAACACTGTGTTCCTACAAGCTTTGTGAAAAAACAGCAGCAAGTCAGAGAAAGCAGACAC